TTTTGCACGCCGATGTGTGGCCCTCAGGCCAAAAAGTTTGCCCACCCCTGGGCTAGACAGTAGCTAGATCTTGCCTGCTGTGTTACTGGAACCCCACCATGCCTGCGTCGTCCTTTATTTTACGTTTTTTGTGCAAAGAGCAAAAGACATAACAGGCCCCTGTGGGGGCTCCTTTGCAGGGATCCCCTCTGATCACTGCCTTGTAGGGCAGGGAGGTTTCTCTCCCCTCAACCCATCTGTGAAACAGACTCTGGTTCTGACCCCAAACTTCACGCTGGCTCTGGGGCCTTGCTAATCCTATCTAGTGCCTGGTAGGGCCTCCCATGACCACATCTCCCCCCGTTATGTGAGGGTTCCTTACTGCAGAGGAAGGCTGAGTTACAGGTAATACAGTTGAGCTCCCCAAGGGGGCCTCAAAGGGAGAGACAGTGCCACAGAGGTGTTGTGTGATCTCCTCCTTTATGCACAGGAGTGTGAAAGCCATACGTGAGGGGGCCCTTCTGTGCACAGATTTCAAGGGCAGTTCTAGCTCTAAGTACACAGAATAGCCCACATCCACCTGAGTGCACAGCTTTTGATTTCCCATGTCACGAGTGCTACCAACAACAGTGTCTTCTGGACTGATGTCGATGGCTTTTGGATCAAGTCCACGCAGAGACAACTCCTCAGAAACCCACTCCTGCTGCAAACAGCTAAGTGGTACTTCTGCCAGCCAGAACCATCCAGCAACAAATTAACCACAGGTTAGCGGGCTGGATGTAGGAACCACAGGGTGTTACATAGGAAGTGACTAGGATGATGGCTTCTGGCCTTAATGTCCATGAATCATTGTACAATGCACCCCTTACCCCAGAGACACCCAGAAGGACATAAAACACTTCTACATCTATAGGCATTTGCAGATCAGACCAAACTCTGTGCAGGTTCTCTACCGCCCCCCACCTGGGGCATGTCAAGATACATGTTATGCAGGCACCTACCAACTCCAATGTGCAACAAGGAAATAAAGCAGACCTTGACCAAAACCCTAGGTTTCCTACTAATAACAACTCTGACAGCAACAAAGCGCCATGCAACGCTCGCTGGCAAAAGACTTACTGTTCTCTAACAGCAACGCCTGTCAGGCCTGACAAACTCACTACGCCTAACACACTGCTTTCATAGTATTGCTCCAAAAAGGGTCATATGAGGTCTCTAATAAAAGCTTGTGCCACACTGAGCCCCATCGTCGTTGCAAGACGTAGGCAGAGATGATATTTCAGGGGCTGTGTGTACGTGCTGAAAAATGTGTTTAGTCTGTGTCCCAGCAGGGCTGACAAACAGGCTTTGCCAGACAGAGGGATGTATGTTCACGTGTCTGCCTCCATTCACATGGAGATTAAGCATTGTAAGCCAACAGAATGAGAGCCCAATATACTTATGTGAAATCAACAGGAGGGTGGGAAGACACCAGGGACGGGAGACTAAACCCCAGGGGGTTGTCCTGTCTCTGGGGTGGGAGGTGGGGGCAAAAAATGAACTTTGAAGAACATAAATATAATGCAAGGAGACATTTTGTGATCCATTCGCCGTGGAAAGCCTCTGGCACTGGCAGAGGGGGATGCTTGCATCCTTCTTTGTCTGAAACCAGCTAGCTCTGCAAAAGACTGCACCTTTGGGGAAAATCTACATTGTTATATAGGGGAGTGACCACTGATAAACGTAGAGCCAGGTTTGCGTGTTATGATTTTGTTTTATAGCTAACCATTTCCATTGTTCTGATTCACTAGCTCTTACACCTTAGCCCTTGATAATAAACTTATGATTGTTTTCTCCATAAATGTAACTCAGAGCTGTGATGTTACTCTGGAGTTGATCTCGGTTCAATCAAACAAACGGGTGTGCGCCCTATTCCTCTGGGGACAGCTGAGCTGGTCCTTCTGGGAGTGTGCAGTGGTTAAGGGCTGGACGCTACAGGGGGAAGCTTTCGGAGGGACTCAGGGGCTGGGTGCACCTATTGTTACCTGCAGGGCAAAGTGAAGGCTGGCAGAGCCCAGAGGGGATTGTTTGGGTGGCTAACACTGCAGACTGGTGGAGTCAGGGAGTTCGCACCCAGTTAAGCACAAGCAAGTCTGTCTGTCTGTCTGTTTCTGTCTCTCTTGTAGGATGACCAGAGAGCAAGTGTGAAAAATCGGGACAAGGGATGGGGGGTAATAGAGGCCCATATAAGACACAGCCCCAAATATAGGGACTGTCCCTATAAAATCGGGACATGATCTGGTCACCCTAGGGAGGGGGAGAACAAGGTGATTCACAGGCCTGGACCCCCAGAGAAAAAGTCACCTGTCTCCCCTGATGCAGGCATGCAAGGAGGTGCCCTTGCTGCTTCCCTACCAGCCTTCCCTACTGCAGCTGGAAATACCACACTCTGCTGCGAGTAAATGACATGGGAATTTCTGTCACTAATACGTTCCCAGGCCTAACCTCTGCTCTGACACATGTTGGGATCCTTTGGAAAACTCTGCTAACTAGCCACCATATGCTATGTTAACTGCTTCGTTAGCACACAGCTAATACTAATATTTTTAATTTCTAACGGGGTCCCTCTTCTGAGAATCTTTATGTGCTTTAGATGTAAGCCTCACGCCACCCCATATAAGGGCGGAATTATTATCCTCATTTTACTGGTAGGGAAATTTTGAGGCACACAGAAGTTGAGCCAGTAGTGGAGTGAGGAAGAGAACCCAGGAGTCCTGACGACCTGCCCCATATATACGCTGCACAATCCTAACAACACCCTAATAGATTCTCAACCCAGGCTGCAAACCGTGGTCAGGGTTTGCAACCACCCTGCCCTTCCCAATATTGCTAACCGGAAAGGGGATGATGCCAGCTAGACTAGAGGTCCCAGTGTAGGAAGGGAGGAGAACCAGTGCCCTAACATACTGTATTTTGGTAGGCACATGATTCTGGCAATGCAATTAGTTTTTCTTCTATACAGTGTGGTTTAAGTGTAACACTTACTGCAAAGGTGTCAATGAATAGCATTCAGGGAAGTATCCCAAAAGGTCTAGCTACCTAAACACCCTTTACAATAGTAACATGGACTTAAGTCATTAGTATCAATTGGATGATTAGCCAGGTTAAACTAGTTGAACCTCTAGTCAGGCAACCTCTATGCAACTGCAGATTCTGTCAGCAGGAAGTGTACCCTGGGGCACCCATAGTTCATGAGAAGTGATGCTGGGCTGCATTGCTTCCCAGGCCATGGGTGGGGTATTTGGTCAGACCCTAGCAGAGTTTTCTGTTTTAAGGACTTTAGTTTAAAAAAAAAAAAATACAGAGCTGAGCTCCACTCACCACTGCCCAACAGTCACTTCATCCCCAGGGCCCACTTGCGGCAGCTTAGCAAGGCAGTCCTTTCCCCACATTGGGCTGAAGAATTAAAGTTTTCATTTAAAAGAAGGAAGTTTATAGTCCTTGGGGTTGCAAAGAAAATGTTCAAACTACTTTCTCCGTCCTGTGACTGCACAGAACTCAGGGAGTGTAAGAAATCCCTGGTTTGTGCTTCACAAACACTCCAGCGCAGCCTGGAAAATTCTACTCACTGCTCCCCTGGAGCGCGGAAATTCTAAGGGCCCACTTCAGAGCTGCCCCAGGGAGAGGGCTGTAAACCAGCTGGATCTTCCTTGGGGTGCTCCTCCAGCCAGGGCCGGCTCTGGCTTTTTTGCTGCCCCAGGCAAAAAAGCCTCCGGCCGCCCCCCCCTCCCGCGGGGGGGACGGCCGGCCGGAGCCGGGGGGGGCGGCCGGAGCCCCGGCGGGGGCTCCGCTCTCCCCCCGGCGGCCGGGGGGAGGGCGCCGGAGGTGAGGGCGGCCGGAGCCCTGGGAGGAGGGCGGCGATCCCCGGCGGGGGCTCGGCTCTCCCCCCTACCCCGGCGGCCAGAGTGCCGGGGGCAGGGCGGCGAGCCCCGGTGGAGGCTCGGCTC